TTCTTTTTTTGCTTTCCCACTTGCTCTTTTCTCCCACTCAGTCATTCTCTTTCTCTCTCTTTTCTTCTCTCTCTAACCCGAGAGGAATACTTCTGTAACACTCGGGCTGTGGATGTACATACGCATGCCAAAGAGAAACAGAAATGTTTGGGCTTGGGTCAGGTCCTTCATTTGAAGACATATGTTAAAGATCTATGATGGCATCTATCTACTTCCAGCAGCTCCCCCAAGTCTCAGTGCCATTTTGTGCCTTGATGAAACTTGTATTTGTTTCGTGTCCACCCCTGTTACGTCTGCAGCCCCTCTGGCTGTCCTTTCTGCAACTGAGACCCTTCGCTGGGTGTTTACAGTCGTTTGCCCACGATCACATGTGGGAACCTCAGCCTTGATGAAAACCCATGCTCTGCTGCAGCACTGCTAAGAGTAACAAAATGTGCATGTAGGTTAAAGGCCTCATCTCTTCCTTTTTATGCATGCAAGTTTTTCATACTTTTGTAAGGTGCTAAATAATGCTTTGCAGATAAGAGCAGCAGCATAGTACCCACAGGGCAGGGGGGTGGGAAAGAGATGGAATTATTTGCTGCAAGCGTTTGGTCTAGCCAGGGAAGAACCAACTACCTTGAACTACTGTCAACAGGTAGGTAGTTGGCTGTTTTCTGGCTAGAGCGAACACTTTGCAGTCTGCTTTGAACTCTTCTGTATCTCCCTGAGGGGTGAAGACAGTGTGAGAAAAAGTGGTTAATACACAAAACCTTAGTATTAGATTTTAAGTTGACTTAACACTCCTTCTAGTGCTTGTCTTCTCTCCTGAGAATGATGATGCTTGAAGGTGAGATGGAAATAAAGGGAACCATGTATGCATGATAGAGAATTGCCTTCTGCTGTTTTATCCTTGAAGAGTTGCATTTTAAGTTGGATGGTCCTAAAATTCACATGTACTAAGGTATGACGTGAACCTGCTTGGTCTGTCTCTGCATTTGTGCTAGGACTGACTAGAGTTGCTGAAGGCAGAGAAGATGGATTTGCTGCCAGTGCATACTGTTCAGATGCATTCAATCAACTTTCTAATTCCTGGGGCAAATACTTGATACGACATGCTGGGTTGGCAGTTTTTGTGAAGCACTTACAGGCTGAAAGGGCCTTTTCCTTCCTTCTCTTCCAGCTCTTTCTTGCTAATCCTTTTTTGTTTATAGTTTTCCTCAATAAAGAAGGAAAAAAGTTATTTGAAATGTTTTGTCTTAGGGGATGAGATCATCAGTGAAAAAATGAAAAAAAGAGAACAGCTTGTTCTTTGTTCTTCTGTGAGGTGCCACCACTCTCCTTTGATTTTAGCATCATATCAGTGTTATACACACAAAGTTTTGGCGTGGGTTCGAACAAACCAGATACTCAGATCAAGGAGGCAAACCCTCTCCAGAACTGGTGCTAGTGCAGCATTGTGCTTGAGGGAGAGCTGCCTTCCATAGCTCTGTCACTTGGGAACCTTTGAGAGGGGACCCAGGCTTCTAGAAAGTTGGAGAAATACAGGTCCATTATATTCTGCCATTCTAGTAGCCTACGCGACAGTAAACGAAAAGAGAAACCGTCTTCTCTGTGTGCAGTGCTGCAAGGGCGTTTGAACTGGGTTGTTTGCAGTAAGGTGACAACAAATCCTGTCCCTCTTGCACAGTGTTGGCCCAAGAGGTGCTTTGGCGGCTGAGTGCCCAGCCCTTTCCCTATTTCCACTCGCAGACCTCTGGAGGAGAGCTCCTCTTTGCAAAGGGCCTCACTATTGGGTTTTGCAATGCCATAGTGTAATTTCGAAAAATATTCCGGTCTCCCATCCGTTTCTGTTGCTACGTCCCTGTAGTTGCAGAGGGGAGCTAATAGGGTACAGCTGGTTAATAAAACATGCATTGCTTGATTCTCAGCTGCGTTCCCCGTTGCTGAACGTCTCCCACATAGCAACTTTGTAGTGGTAGAGTTTGAATGGGATGACAGTTTTGCACCCACTTTTAGATGAAATGATTTTAAATGAAAAAATCCCAGAGATCCTAAGTGAAAGAAGCCATCCAAGTGCCTTCAGCATTTTTCATTGCAATAGGTGCTCCCTTCAGTTCTTGCTTTAATATCAGCATATGAAGCATCTGGCTTAATCTCTTGTAGATTCTTATGTAAATTTATTTTTTTTTTTAAATCCTAAAACTGGTAGTATATACCTATCTTTAGGGATTGTTGTACAGCTTTTAGCTTCACTGTAGGAGAATTTTAAATCTGGGGTGAAGCAAGTCTGTGGTTTGTAAAGTACTTGTTTCTGTTAAGAAATTTAGGGTATCAAGTCTGTCACGATGGAGAGCTATATGCCAAGATTTGAAGCCTCTATTTGCTGGAAGAGTAGATTTCTTTATCAAAATGAAGGTGGAGTAGAGCATGTGTAAGCAGCCTGTGGTGTGTGGTCCATGTGGTATCCACCCTTTCCCCCTTTGCTCTCTCTGACAACACCTTTTCAATAAATGAGTGCCGGTTTAACTCTTTTCCTTTCATTCAGGTCACATTTTCTTTTTTCCTTGGGAAATAACACAAGACTTACAATGTTAAATGTTCCTTTTGTGACTTTGTCATAAAAATTAATGAGACTAGGAAAACTATTTGTGGACCTGGAAGAGAATCCTCGTGAATAGTATTTCTCTATTCACAAAGCTCCTTCATTTTAATTAGCAAATAAACCAGGAGAGAGCAGTAGGCAGGTATTTATGTGCAGGTATAGGCTTTTATTTTGTCCAACACATTCAAAAGCAGTGATTTGAGAGAAATCAGATTGGTTGATCGCTGTGCTGTGTCTTCAAGTTCTCTTGGTCTGAATTTGTTGGGGGTGAGGGAGATAGGGTGATTCATACTTGAGCAAGGCAAACCCAAGAGCTGCCAGTTTGCATTATGTCAATGTATGTAAGAAAATATTTAGATAGAATTTCCATTAAAAGTTCAAAAGCAGGGGGCTCATGCTGACCCCAGCTTTTAGAAGCTCTGGTGGGAAACCTGAATGAAATTTAACTCCGCTCAATGTGTTTTCGTTGGCTGACTTCATGTTTTATTATCTCATGCAATGAGATCTTTCTTGGTTTGTCGATTTTCTACTGAGGACAAAAAGTTCATGTATGTAACAGTGCACATATTGAATTAAAGTACGATTAAAGGCATGATGTAATGACCCCCTCTCCTTTTCCTTTAGTCAATATTTGCCTGCAGGGTCAATACATTACAATATTGACTTCAAAGTATTCAATATTTTTTTACTTTCTGAGTGTGTTGGCTTTGAGTGCATGTAATATTAAACTTGTTGGTTGAACTGTTGGTCTAAGACTTACTGTCTAAGTAGTTTCAGGCTTGGATGCCTAATCCATGTAGAGCAGCTTTCAAGGCATGTGATAATATCACAACACAGCTGTAGGCAGCTTTCTGAGGTGAACCATTTAATCTGCAGTCTTTTCTCCCAGCTTCCTAATGAGTGGTGGAATTTGTCCCTTGGTGTGCGATGGGATTATTGCCCTCTATCCCTGCTGCCATCATATTTACTCTCTGCAGGACCCTCCAGTGACTGTAGGTTATGTGGACAAATCTAAACCCCAGAGCTCCCATCTTCCACGTGCATTTCTGCTGCCTTTACATCTGTGCTCTGTCGAGTGTACAAAAGCAGCTCAAAAAGCAAGATAATGCTCTATGTACTCAAAGTGCTTTGTGAACATGGCTTAATAAAGTTAAAATTGTTACAAATTCACACAGTCACACAGGGCAGGTTGGTGCTCACCTGTCTGAACTCCCAGCTGGAGGCGTGGTGGGCTGGGTGACTCTCCTAATACGTGCTTGAACCTTCTCACACTTCCTCTTCACCTGCATACATTTCCATTCTCACTGTGCTGAAATCTAGGGCCAGTACCCATCAGAAGGGCACACAGGCAGATGTACTGCGTAATGATGGCAGCTGTGAACCATTTATCCTTCAAAAATGTGACACTCTAGAGAAGGGCTTTGATAATATTCTTTGCAAGGCGTATAAACAAACAGGATTGTCACCGGCTTGGTATCTTATTATGTTGTCTTTTTAAAAAAATTAAGGAAAGAGAAAATATTTATAGATACCAAGAAGTTAGTGAATTCCTCTAAAGAACCAAATGTTATAATTAGGAACCCGCTGCACTTAGAACTATTCTACAAATAAGCACCTCAAATCTAGCCAAGTCCTTCCAGAAAAAACAAAGGTCAACAGGCTGCTTTGAGGATTAGCAAACCAGAATTTCTTGGACCAAGCTACTAATTACTTCCAAAGCTGAGGATGATCACTACTTCCAAATCTGAATTACTGCGGAAACCTCATGATAAACCTCAGTAGTATTCCTTTCTAGCCTAACTTTTGAATCGGGATACTTCTAGACTGTACTCAAAGGATAAAAAGCCTAATATGAAGGGAAGGCAGGATAACAGTGGGAATATTCTGCTTGTGGAAAGCTGCACTTCTGCATATCCTGATCCAAAGTCACTGAAGGCTTCCCACGTCACCAGCAGCAATCTGGGCTCAAACAGGGTGAGGTGGAAGCAGGTGCAGCTCTGAGAACCCAGAAGCCCATGTGACTGGCTGCTCCATACCTGGGAAATGGTGCCCTGCGTTGCCTGTGTGCTTGTAAGGTGGGGTCCCCTATTGTTTACTGTTGTTTGACAGCAAAGGAATGAGGATTGGGCTCACTATTACAAGCTCCTACTTGGAAAGACTTATCCACATGTTTTTTAAGGGTTTTCACATACCCACCACTGCGCTTGAGGATTCACTCAAATGCATATTCACTCATATGTTGTGGTCCCGAGAGACCACAGTTCTCATCTCAGATGGAAGAGGTGGAAAGAAGTATCATTTGTGTGAGATCTAAGCATAAAGCAAAAAGATTATGGTAGCACTGGGTGAGGGGGAGATGGGTCAGCAGTTCATTTCTACTTGCAGCCTACTGACTGACTTCCTTGTGCAATTTCAGGGAACTTCGAAGTGGGTGTTCACATCGCAGATGTGAGCTACTTTGTACTGGAAGAAACGGCACTGGATAAAATAGCGAGTGAAAGAGCAACTAGTGTCTATCTAGTGCAGAAGGTAAGGACAACTTTTGCTTTTTTTCATCTGACAACTGTATCTTCTGTTTACCATGACTTAATTTTAAAGGTTCATTTTCAGATGCCCACTATCAAAATCTGGCTATTATTGCAGTAAATCTACAAAAATGAGTAAACTGGTGCAGACATATGCTAACATAGCTGCTGACTACCTTGGAGCTTATGGAGAGAGCACAGCGTGAAGCAGCAGTTTGTGATTCTGTGTTTGTGGACAGAGACTTGGGTGTGCCAGGGCTGGAGAAGCTCCATGTGAACAGAACTCTGCTGATCTGGAGCTAGTTCAGGGCCCTAAGCCCACAGGTATGTTTGCACTGTGCTGACTTGAGGTAAGCCTGACAGACCCAAGCTGGCTTATCTGCTTTGCTGTTGGGAGCTTGAAATTTGCAGATGTGATGGTGGAGGTGGAGAGCTTTGTCTCTGTCTTCAGTGCAGTGGGACTAGCTAATCTCTCCTAGAAGTGAATGTGTAGCAGAGTAGGGTGCAAAACACCTTGTGCAATCTCACATCTTGAGGTATGACAGAAGGTTCACACTCTTCTTTTATCTGGGTATCCCACATACTGGAGAAATGGTGTTCTTTCATCATGCAGTGAAAAAATATTTGAAATTGTACAGATTTTAGTATAACAGACTCAAATGTTAAATTCGAGTTTAAAGCTGACTTCTAAACTTTAAAAATTAACAGGTTCAAGTTTTAACATTACTGGAAAAGAAACATCCAGGTTTTGTCTGTGGCTGTCTCATTTTCAGTTGAATATGCAGAAATACTTCCTAGCTCATCAGGTACGGCCGGCACCGTGCGTGCTAATCCTGGCTGTTAGCGTCCTGTGTTGGCTTGAGGCATCAGCTGCGTGAAGAGGAGTGTTGAGGCAGTCTCATAAGAGCAGATTTATCTGTGTGTCTCTCCCCACACTCCCATTCAGTCAGGCTGAAGTCCTTGTCTCCCTCCACAGCCCTTTCCGGTATGACAGGGCATCTTTTGTAAAATAAATAAACAGATCCTACTTGCTACTTAGGATTAGGAGTGATCCTTCCCCTCCCTTCCTGAATGTTCCCAGAGTTGCTGTCCGGGGAGGGTCTTGTAGTGATGCTTGTTCTAATAGCTGTCCTCTCCACACTTTCCAGATTATAAAATGAATTATTTACACTATTGAAATCAAATTAATGATTTGACATCAAGCTGTTAACCTTTAGTAGCTGTTCTGTAACTTTCCTTGGGTAGAAATCGTAAGGCCCAGCGTCAGGGGGTCTCAGTGAGCCTGGTGGATTTTAGGTCTCTGGGTACGGGTTGTGTGGAATAGCCGTGATAGCAGTGCAGAAGTGCCCAAGCTGGCTTGGTGGTGGTGAGAGCAACAGCAGAGAGGTGTTGCAGTGCGGGACCAAGGAGTGGCCACGCCGGGAAACACCAGTTACCAGTGGCTTGCTGCTCTCTGGGAGTGGGAAGCAACGCGTATCTCATGGAAACAGCAGTTCTGGCACCAGAGTCTTCCCAGTCCTGCAGCCTCTCCAGTGACAAGCCCTTGGCTTCTGCGATGCTCTGCTTCCCCCTCTGATGGATGACTCAATGGCCATAGCTCACCATGGGAGATGTGGGCTGGCCTACGGGGGATGTCACTGCAGGGCAGCAAAGCTGTAGTCCAGGAAGATGTTGTGGCAGTATTTCCAAGTCAAAATACTGTGGTTTGAAGACATGTGATATTTTTTTAAAGGGAGAAGGAAAATTTTTATATAGAAAGGAGACATTTTTCATTAAAATCTAGTTGAATTCAAAATCTAATTGAATTTTCTTTCAAAGCGCTTTTTTCCCCCAGCACTACCAGTCAGTCATGTGCAATGCCAACATAAGTTATCTGTTGTCCATAATCTTCAATTGCTCCTCAACTACCTTAGCCCAGCAGTCAGGATTAGTGTTTTACCCACACTTCTGCCCTACAGAAAATATATTTTAAGAGTGCGAACTGGGTTAGATGATGGAATGGTCAATATTTTAATTGAAAGAGATGAAAAAGATAGAGGGGATGGGCAAAGGAAAGCAGCCAGGCTGTCTGAAACAAGATGGTAGCATGACTCTTGTAGAAAATATGCTTTCCTTTGATGGAACTGTTTCCTAAGACAGCTGTGATTCTGCTAGCGGTTAGCACCATCCTAATCCTCCCAAAGAAGTTAAATAAAGCCACATATTTAATTTTCCTGAACCATGTATCCAAAAGGGGAGTTATTATGTAATTGCTAGCAGTCTATTTAATAAAAGTCAAAAGTTTTTGAAATAAGAGTGTATCGGGTTTTAAGAAGCAAGAAAACCTAAACAGTTTCCTCTTTTTTGGCACATATTATAGTGTTATTTTAGGTGTGAAGCAGCTTGAGTGAGAGGTCAGACATAAATCCCTATAATATTTTATTGGTCCTATTTTATACTGGAGATCAAAGATCGGAGCTGTAAGCCTATCTTCACGTTGAGTCCAAGGGCTTCAAGACATTCACTTTTGACACCAGCAGGTTGTCAGGGTGTTGATATTTTGATAATCTCAGGCAGAGTAACAAAGAGTTGCTCAAAATCTGAATTCATGGAAGTGTTGATACATGTCTTGAGCAGAAATCTTGGCTCATAAACAAATTGCCTATTTCCTTTGAGTGTCTTTTAGTGTGTAAGCAAGAGGCTTGCTGAGCCCACCCGATTGTTGGACCTCGACATCCTCCTCCCAGCTCTGGGGAGAGCAGCTGATGGAAACTCTCGGTTAATAATCGGACCGGCAGTGGGAGAAGGGGTCACCCCAGAGTCAGCAGTGGTTGGAACCAGCTGAACCAAGCCTGAGCAGGCAGCCAAAGCAGGACACCAGCAGAACGGGGTTGTTTGAAGGCAGCAAAGCTGTCCATGTGACTTTGTGAAAATAAGGGGTTTTTCTTAACTAGAGTTTGTTCCCATTCCCCTTTGGTTGACTGACACTGCCCTTCTGTTCCTTGAAAAGCTGCTGCAGTGTGTCCATTGATGAGAGCTGCCCTGGCTAACCCACTCTGAACCTGGCTGGTGAGTCAGTCCTGGCTGCAGCAGATGTTTCTGATTTTAAAGGGAACCGGGAGTTTTATCATCCCAGTATGTGTGTGCTCCCTCCTGCTGCCCTGCTCCCTAGGAATGAGTCCGAGGCTGGAAATTCACATTTGGTTTTTGGAAACACTTTATTAGCTGAAGAGGCAAAACAAAACAAAACCAAGGGCTCTCACAAGCAGGAGGTTAGATCTTCCTGTGTCCAAAGCGAATCCGCCATGCAGAGGAGCCAGCTGCTAAGCAGTGTGGCCAGCCATGGTTACAGCTCCATGTGTTTTATAACACTGGGGCAGTGATGTATAGGAAACCCCCCAGCCCTGGCAGTGCCTTCTCTCTCCTATTTTGGTTTTCCCCTTGCTGCCCATCGCTTTGGTGCACTGGGACATGTGGCTGCCTGCGGGGAGAGCCAGTAGTGCGGAGGGGGGCTGTCAGGCAGTGCTGGAGCACTAAGTCTCAAGCTGCATGTGGCAGCGCTGGAGATTTCGCATTTGGGACTTGGAAATAGGGAAAGAGAAATCCTCTGTGATTTGATTTGAAATGCAGACTGCGATCATTGTGAATATCAGCCTTTCACTCAAAGAAGTGCCCTTTGCAGGACCTCTTGGGCCCTGCTGGACTTGTGGGGAGAGATGATGTCTTTTATTAGTCTGACTGATAGAGGGGGATGAAAAGCAGACAAGGTCTCACCACCCAAGCCTATCTTCAGCCTTGTTTCTATGTTACATTCATTAGAAAGATTTTCCTAGGGGCTCTTAAGTCCTTCTTTGCATTGTGAAAGTTTTTTCCCTGGCCCTGCTGAATCTCTCTAACTACATTTCTAGATTAAACCACACCTTTATACACCCCCCTGTTCCAGCTTTATGATCCCTGTATAAGACAGGTGACTGCTTCCACCTGCAGTAAAATCAAGCTGAATGATGTGATCCCCAACATGGGCATATCCTGAGCGATTTGCTAAGGAAACCACTTCACACTGGAGGTGATATCCCTCGGCAGTGTTTCAGCTAGCTGGATTTCTGCGTGCCGTGGCACTCTGCAGGGCAGCTGGCAGACACTGCTGTCTCTTGGCAGACAGTCAGTGGAAGGGCAAAGCATTTAAAAGATGCCAGGCAACGTCAGGATTATTTGAGGTGATGCTATGCAACCCTGATATTCTGAAAATCTGGGCATTAAAGATGTACTTAGGGAAATCTCCTCTCATCCTGCATCCCCTTCAGAAAGAGGTGGAGATAATGCTATTGCAAAAGTTCCTTCTGGGCAGCCCCCGGGATAACTCCTGGGACATCTGGCTTCTCCAAGTGTGACACAATTGAGACATCTTTATATGTTAAATGCTGGGCTTGCAACTACTAGGAATCCTTTCAGCCTGTGACTATATTATGTTAAGGAAAAAAGAAATGTGTATTTATGACTTAAATTTCTGTGCTTTATGACAGTTGATTTATTCTCCATGTAGCATCTGAAGAGGAATCGTGATGTTAAAGCAGAGGGATGCAGTTAGCCAAGACTGGCATGACGTTGTAAACAGATTTCTTATTTTAATTCAGTATGGTAGATAAAATTGAAATACCTTCAATGCAAGGTCACATTGTCCTATGTTATGTATGTGTTTGCTGAGCGCAGGAAAGGGTTGATTTAATTCTTGCTCTCCTGTGAGGCTTCCTCCATGGCATGGGTTAAGTTACTTTGTGTAAAGTTTCTGTCCTGTAAAACAAGGGTAATTCGGGTTGTTGCTTCCCTATTTAACAGTAGGTTTGTTACAGCTAATTGCTTGGTGAGTGTTTAGTGCTGTAATTATGATCTGAGTTAAAGCTTTGCTTGTGTTTCACATCATTGAAAGCCCTTCCATGGAATTATAGCCTCTTGAATCAGATATTAATCCTGCTCAAGTACACTTAAAACAAGCATCCTGTTGTTTTGTTCAGGCTATTCTTCGTGGATGGGCTTTCATGTTTCGCGGAGGCATTCTTCTAGCAGACTGTTATTGCTGCAGGAGATGTGAAGGGAAAGAGGATGTGCTAAGGCACAGAAATATTCAATAGGTACAGACCATTATCAGATAATCAATCTCGGGGTGGGGAGAGAGAGAAAAGCTAGGAACTGCAGCTTTTCATTTGGGTGGAAAAGGGCATGGGATCTTTTATTAAATTACTAGCACTTTTTTCTCTGTGACCTGAACTTCAGGGTCCCATGGTGGTCATGGGTGATCTTAGGCGGGCAGGGATTTCCGATAGTCTATAAAGCTATTTTCTCTCCTTTCTGGTATGAGTTGGCACCGCTCATGCTAAATTTATAACCTTGTGATGTGGGTCCTTCCAGGCAGCATGGCAGAGCTCACGTACTGGATCTGTGAGTTATGAGTGTACCAGTATTGTTAACATACTGTTCACAACTGGAATAACAGTGTTGACGGCCTTTGTGTTGCGGGAAACAGCTTATCATAATCTATGCCCTTGTGACCTTCCAGCTGAACCAGTGCTGCTGATTCATGTTGCAAGTGACTCCTTGACAGTCACAGACTGTACAGTTAACCTTTTGGCGTTAATATGCACTGCAATTAGAATGGATTTATAACCGTTGTCTGGTGCCAAACCACAAATGTGATTAAATATTTTAAGAGTCTTTCCTTCAAAGCAAAAGGTAAATATGAAGTGTGTGCACTTCAGGAGAAAATGGACACCTCAGAATTATTTTCTTACTGTTTTGAGGAACAGTTGTTCCCCTGGCATCCAGGTAGAAAAAATTAATTCTGAAATCACCAAATAGGTGTCACAGAGTTTGAAAGACCTGTGGTTTGCATGCCAGTCAGCTTCCTGCAGGTCCTATACTTACAGGGTGGCACACAGAGCAATCAAACCATGAACTAATTTAAATAGCTAAAATACTTTATGGCAACCAGGTAGAGCATTTCTCTCTTTCTAGCCCACACTGCCACTCAAAATAAACAAGAGAAATAATGTGGTTATTTTTTGAGAGCTGTTACTTCTTCACAAAGGTAAATAATGAGAAGGGAAGTAAGAATGTGAAACTCTAATTTTTGCTTCATTAAACAACAGCTAAATGTTTTCTTTACTGCAGACTTCACCTGGGAAATAACTCAGGGATGGTAGAAACACTTGGAGCTGCTCAGGTTTGCTCTAGTGTGAATATGTTGCAAAGATTTTGCTTTGTTGCTGTAGAGGTGAGTGGTTTGGTAATGCAGTGTTCAGCAGCAGAATTATTGATTAGATGTAAGGAATTAGGACACAGGTTAAAAAATCCCAGCCAGAAATTTCTGTTGGCTGACATTTTGTTCAGAGTTTAGTAAAATGATAGTTGTTTTCTCACTCTGTTTGCAAACACCAGTCACAAAACAGGTGCTTTTGTTTATCCCACCAACATCTACGTGTTTCTGCATGGCTCAATCTTTATTAAAGCCACACACCACTTCTGTGATGCATGGGAGGTTTCATTTATGGTTTGAGGGAAGCAGACTTGCATTACTTGCCTGGTTACACAGTATATGGGGGCAAAGCAAGAAACACAGTTCCCAAATCCAAGCTCTTCAGTTCCTGACTGCCAGGACGATGTTTCTTCAGCATCAAGTTTCTTGATGTGCTGAGCCTTCCTCATTCTTCCCAGGGCCAAAAGTTGGGAAAGAAGTAGAAAATAGAGCAAACTGTGACCTTAAAATCTGCAGAGTAAAGTGTTTGCATAACCAAGGATGCAGGATGCTTCAGGATGCTTATTCCAGTCCTTGGAGGGGAGCCCTGGGAATTTATTCTCAGGGTGGAGACTGACAGCTGGTCTCATTGAGGACAGGGCTGATGTGTGTGTTGGTGGCTGTAGCCCTGATTTCCTCTCATTTCAGGGGATTTGGTTTACTTACCCATTCTGTGCCAGTATGCTGTTCATCATGTGATGTCGCTCTGGCATGGGTGATGCATCTCAGAGCTATGACGTAGCCATTCCTGCCACAGAGAATGTGATCCTGAAGGTTTAACGCATTTTCTCCTTTTGTGCATTGTTGAGCCTGTCTTTTACCAACTAGTCAGGGACGCTTGGCCACAGACAGGTCTCTGCTAAAAGCCCATATCTCACCAAGGCTCTCTTCTCTTCCAGGTGATTCCGATGCTTCCCAAGCTGCTCTGTGAGGAGTTATGCAGTCTCAATCCCATGCGAGATAGACTGACGTTCTCTGTGATGTGGAAGGTGACTCCAGAAGGCAAGGTACCTCAGTAGCAGGCTGTCATCCTGCTAATCAGTCCTCCCCCGGTGGCCAGCCCCTACTCCTGCAAACAGAGTGGTAAAAATGCCATCCCAGGCAGATAGCAAAGGACTTGGTGAACAATACTGGAGGATCTAGGACTGCCCCTGTATCTTGTCTTACTTGATGAGATACTGTGGAACTTCCAGTTGGAATAATCTCACAACATGGTGGGGAAAGGAAGAATATTTGTATAAATCTCAGGAACGGAGAATTTCCTGCTCCTTGCCAGGTCACCCATCCCTTCAATGTCTTATCTCCAGCAGCAATTCAGAGCTAATGCTTTGGGTGAGACAAGATGTTCCCTTGATTCCAGTCCTGCCTTGTGCTCGTAAGCAGTTGTGCAGTGCAGTGGATGCAGGCAATATCCCTCTGTGGCCTCTCTGGTAAAGACTATTTCATTCTTCTTCAGATCTACAAATTACATCGATCCAAGTAAAGCGTGATAGCTCTTCAGCAAGGGCACAGCTCCATCCTCTGCATGTGTTATTTCCAGGGAGCAGTTGTGGAGGCTGTCTGTCAGTGCAGCGAGCTGCCTTCGGCTGCCTGACAGCTGTCCTCAGGCCTTCATTTCTTTCCCCGTTCCTCTCCCACACTCTCTGCAACCCTAACAATCTCCTCTTTGGTGATCCCAGGGTCCCCTCGCTGATCGAGGAGGGCTAAAGACTGACACTACTGGAGGATCCTCTGATCTATTGCTAAGTACACTTTTTGTATTCAGAATTAACTTCTTTTTAACCAGGGTTGTGCTCATGCACAACTGTCTCTGTGGTGAGTATTTCTTGTGCCAATTTGGTGATTTTTCACAAAGATTAATTTTAATTTCTTATTATTGTCCATGTTGCTCTAAAGGATACTGAATTTTATTTTGTGCTTTAGCAAAATATCATTGCAGTCCAATATCTGTGTTTCTCCAGCGAGTCCTTGCTCTGGCACTGCGGTGGATTTCATTTGCTTGTTGTGAAAAGGGTTCCACTTCCTATAGTGACAGCATGATTACTCATGAGACCTTCTAATAGTAGCTCCTTGGTGGGCCTTTTATTGACTCTGAGTGGTCTTTGAACAACTAATGGTCAAGTCTTAATTAAAATAAGCCTTTAATTAAATCTTGTCTCTTGTGCCCTGCAATATATATATGTTATTTGCTTTTCAAACCTTGTTCAGACCAACCCTGTCTGACCAGTGAGAAAATAGAGGAGCTGCAGCATCTGCCTTATGCCTGCTCGGGGAGCTGATCTCTGGAGGAGCAGTGATCTGGGCCATGACCATGCTGCCCCTTGGAAAGCAGACTACCTACAGCCATCTCAGCAAACTGGTTTCTCTGAGGAGGCCTTGCAGAACTGCAGTCTTAATCAAGGTCACTTGATTTGAATATCAGGTGAAGGCCAGAGAAGAATTTACTCCTTCCAGGAGGAAAAGTGATTGTAGGGCTTTTGCCTAGCAGGGCATTCTTGTAAGAGCTTATCTCTCAGTTGGGACAGAATGTGTCTCCTGTATTTCTAGGTGTTACTATAGCCTAATCTCAGTGTAAACAGGATCACATGCTTGCCCAGACTCTGCTGGGTGAAAGGGAGGTGAGTCAAAGGCCCCACCACAGCCTTTGAACCTCAGCTGGTGGTGGAGAGCCCTGAGAACTCTGGCATTGAGGGCAGGACATTCCTCAGCGAGGGATGCACGAGGCCAAAGAGCACTTCATTGCACCCAGTGTGCACAGCAGTATCTTAGCCTTGAGCTTGCAAAGCAGAGCTCAACAGCCCTGCTAGAGGTGAGAGCTGCTCTGAGCTCCCACTGTTCCAAAGCAAGTCTGGAGCTAATGCAGCTCCCAAGGAAAAGCCATGCAGATTCCTCACTTGAATGTGACTACTGATAAGTTATTGGGATTTTTAATTCTTGTTTCTTTTAGAAAAATAATGCCAAGCTTAGGCCTTTCTGGGAGACAGGCACTTTCTTGTTTCTGTTGCTTTTGGGTTCTGGAGTTTTTCTAGTTTTCATTGAGAGTAACAAAATGTGGCTGAGCAGCACTGCACATAGCTCCATAGACTCCAGCAGGATAGTGTGACATGATGTATCTGAAATGACTTTCCAAGGACAGAGGCGTTAACCATATTGTTCATCTGTGCTGTTCTTCAGAAGCAGAGCTGGGCGTTTATAGGAACGATGTAGCATGTTCTTGTTGGGATACAGTCAACAGAAAGATATTTGAAAACAAACGATGCAACTCTTACTGGCTGCTGATGTTTGAAGCGCAGCCCTGCTGGTTCCTTCTACCAGTGAGAAAGAAAAATTGCTTCAGTCTGAAACAGCCTATACAAGCAATGTGTCTTCCAGGTTCAAAACTGTTGTCATCAGCCAGGTTGTGATACGGACACTGCCTTGCATGGAGAAAGTCCTCAGCCGCCTCCATAGCTATGTCACACCGTCAAAGAGACCTGTACCACCAAGGACGCTGCTAACAGGAGGGTTAGAGCTGAGCCACGCGGACATCACATCACGTGCTGGGTATTACAGACTTTTCTCAAAAGCAGCCAGAGCTGGGGGAAGCCTTAACCCTAGAAATGCCTCAGATACTGGTACTCTCTCTGGAGTGTGGGTGCATCAGGTTTGCTGTGTGGGGGAGACCTTGCACACCAGTCTTTTGGACTACTCATTGTAATCTCCAAGTCCTAGCATGCAACCCCCAAATGTTACTCCTCTGCACTGCTTTGCCCATCCATCAGCCACTGGTACGTGGGCCAGCCAGCCTTGCGTGGCTTTCCCTGCAGATGTGGAGCTTGCCCATTAGTCTGGTGGGGTTTCCAAAGCAGGGAAGCACGGCCGTGGCTACCCAAAGTCCCCTTGGCTGGCCGCTGAAGGCAGAAATGGAGGGCGTTTCCAGGCAATACTTGGGACAATGGGTAGAGTTAAGTTAGCCTGCTACAGCAAGGCTGAGAGTGGCAGCTCTGCTCACTACACACAGAGATTACTGGACTGCATGGGACACAATACGTTCAAACTCCATTCCTTGCCTACGTGACATCTGTATAAGGCATCCAGGTAGTCTTCGTGAGAAGGTGTTTAGTGGGTACATTAATAAGAGATCTCTCAGGGTTCTCACTGCCCAGTTTACACCTGTTAGAGCCATTCCAAGAATGGAAATTGGGCACTTTGCATCATGCTGCTTGGTTGCCTTTCAGAGACCAAGAACAAAAAAAGGAATTGAGGAAATGGAGAAATAAAAGAAGTTTAATATCTGCTAGTAATGGGCTGCTTGTCCTGATGCTTTGCTCTGAATGTGACCTGCCTGAGATTTGACATTCTAGTTATATTCTGGGGGCCCAATACACTGCTTCTCTCATCTTAAAAGGAAGTGAGCAGAGTTCTGAAATATTTGGGCTTTTCTAAGCAAGCTGAAAAATTATGTTTTGTTGAAAGCTTCAAGTTCAGACAACAGAGTGGAAATCTGGTTTGTTGCCTCTTTCAAGGGACAGAGAGAGCTCTTGGAAGGCAGTGGCAGAAAGGACCATGTAGCCCCAGAGCTGACTTTAACCTTGGGACTGAGGAAAGTGCTGCTCTTCAGAATTACCCTTCTGGTTTGTGCCTAGTCCTTAACCCTTTTCAGCACAGAAGTAATTGATGGAATTGACTCACCTACTTCTTAAAACAAAATGAAAGTGCTTTCCAAACACAAAATATTTAATGTGGGATAATATAACAGGGCCAGAATGGATAGTGACCTTTGATGCAGAAATTAATAGCTGGAGAAGAAGGAATGAGCAGGGAAATAGAGGTAACACCTGGAAACATTTGAACAGTAAATTTAAAGAGCTAGAGGGTTTGTCGAAGTGAAGTGAAGTGAAGTGAAGTGAAGTGAAGTGAAGTGAAGTGAAGTGAAGTGAAGTGAAGTGAAGGCTGCTCAGGCTTGCTCTCAGATCACCTCAACAAGGAACACCACCTTTTTGGTGCCTGAGTACCATCCAGGTCTTACTGAAATCTGAAGTATCTCTATTGCCAACCAGCTAATAGTCTTAAACTTGCTGGAAGTGGATCATTCAGAAGAGCAGTGCAGCCGCCTCCACACCAGAGATAGTCCTGGCTTAATATAAGGAGTTTTTTCGGGTCCAGCAGATTTCATCAGATGTCACTGACCTACCGGACATGGATCTCCCATCAGCACAAGAAGCTGAACCATATTTAAGTTTTATCACTTGCTGTATCTCAGATATTAGGACACTTTCTAATTAGAAATTAGCCTAAATGTCCTGTGACTTTCAGAGCTCTGAGGTGCTGAGTTATGCTGCACCTATATTCTGTGGGGCATAAGGGAGGGAGGCAACAAAGGTATCTTGGGGATCAATCCTCTCCTGTTAAGAAGAGGGTTTGCCTTTCTGAAGCAGTGTCCTTGATGAGTCTGTCATAGAGAGAGCTGGCTGTTCTCCCCAGACGCCATCACTTGCAGAATTTAGCATGTTCTGTTGTGCTGATGAAGGGGTAAGGTGGCACTTGTAGCTAAGGCAGAATTACAATTCTCCATTCATTCTCTGAGCACTTGTGCTTTGAATGGTTTATCACAGACTGCATCCATCTCCAGAGCCCTCATGCCAATGCTCTTGACTCCTCTGAAGAGCCTTCTGCCCCTTTGTCCCTCTATGCTTTCTCACTGGCTTGATGAGCTTTTGGATGCTGTTACATATCTCAGCTGAAAATAGATTTTCCTTTCTGCTTCAAGAAATAATTCTGAATTGCTACTTCTACATCGGTATTCTGTTACGGAGTTTAAAATGGGAATGGCTTCTGGTTTAAAATAAAATAATTTTATAGCTGATTTATATATTATTTTCCTCTAGATTCCAAAACAGTTTGGAAAGGTTTCTGGCTCGAGTTTGTGCCTAGGACCATAGGCATATTCAGAGAAACAAGGGGTCAGTGACTGGCCGTCTCTCCTCCAGACCCACCAAAGTCCTTCTCAGGCACTTTCACAAGTGCTAGTTAGACACTGTTTCTGCAGTGCTCCTGAAAACAAGAGTATTTCAAGGCCAGCCCCTTGTGCCCTGCTGGCCACACTTCAGTTAGAGGTGGAATGCAATCTGCTGTATTTTAGATAGGAGATCCCTTCCTGCGTGTGTATATCTGCCTATTGCCACTCCTGCACCTGTGTGTTGTGCATATACACGTTACTAGACACTAGAGAACGTATATGGGCAAAAAGCCTGATGGTCTCAGCGTGAGGAGATCTTCACTTGAAGATCACAGTCAGTGATATCTGGTGTCATTCCTTCCCGTGTTTGTACAACTTGTCAAGCTTTTGTGCACTGGAAGAATAAGTTCTCAGATCAATTGACACTTTCCAATTTTGCAGATCCTTGATGAATGGCTTGGGCGGACAGTCATGTGCTCCTGTGTGAAGCTAAGCTATGAGCATGCACAGAGTATAATTGAAAACCCTGGGAAGGTGTTCTCGCCTGAAGAACTGCCTCCTGTCTCCCCTCAACACTCCATAGCCGAGATCCAGCAAGCTGTGCTGAACCTGCATCGAATTGCCCAGCACCTCCGCAAACAGCGCTTCATCGATGGTGCTCTGCGCTTAGACCAGGTGAGTTAAGTTCAGTCCCTGTAAGGGGCTCCTGCTCCACTGAAGCAATTTCATGTTGTACTCCCTAAGAATTTCCCGATTAGTCAAAGAACTCAAAGGGAATAGTCAATGCTGGAATAGAAAGGCAGCTTTTTGTGTCAGTCTTCTTAAGAACAGCATCAAATCATGTACCAGAAGCACTAAATAAAGTAGGATGAGAAGAAAAAAGTTTCTGTTTTTTAAGGAGTGATCCATCTTTCAAAATTTTTCAAAATTCTAAAACCCCAGTGGACTGGGTAAGTAACTCATACAGTGTAACAAATCATGACAGTGCCATTCATTATCAAGCAGTTCAGATATCCTTAGTGCACATCTCACCGTGAAAGTCTTATTCTCCAAATTTATTTCTGTGCTTGCAACGTTCATATTTTCCACAACTTTCGTAAGAGTTCTCTGCACAGTGAAAATGACTGTATGTTATCTAAGCTAATGCTTATAAGTGTTGGGTGTGTTTCAGAGAAATAAATGCTAGTGAGGAGGTTTTCTGTCTGGTGTGATTTAAATAATCTTGTATCAGTTGTGGTATGTGTAATTTCTATTTTACAAGTAGATCCAGATATTTTAGACCATCACAGCATAAAACACTTTTGCATTTGAAGTTCAACTGCTCTGAGGTGGCTTCTGACAGTTTTTGTGGATAGGAGGTTCCAGTAATTCATAGAACCCAGTGGCCTTCCTGAGCAGGAGACAAAATTAAGATCTTAATTAAGATCTATTGTTTTATTTTGCAAAATGAGCGTGAGTCAACGTAAGGATATTGCTGAGAGAGAAGCTAGCACACCGAGATACGTAAACAGGACTATTGTATGTAAGAGGTATGTTGTAACCCTTCCATTTTACTCAGAATTACAATGTTGTCTCCAGTTGCAGGAAAGTCTAATTTTAGAGAAATCATTGCAGAGCAACAAGAGCAAGGAGTGTCTGTAATCTCTGACTTTCTCTGACAGAGGACATGGCTTAGTCTGGCGAAGCTGCTGTGAAGAAGAGGCAATGTGCTTTTCCCCATGTCTAAGATGGACTGGATGAGATTCTTGAGTTTCAGTAGAAGGGGTTGGAGTTACACTTTAGAATAAACTTTCTGGTGTAGGCATTGTGGTGTCTGAGGCTATCTTGCCTACATCTGTTGTAGGAAGACTTGGAGCACTGGTTAGGCACACATAAGTGAATCTGGAGCAAGAGTATTTGCTCAAGGTCCCTCCTTGCCTAAATGAAATAATCATTCTTAAAATGATATTCAAATAATTTTTGGAAATCAGACTCCCACTGTGAAGTCATACAGAGTTTTCTTAAACCTCTTTTGGAACAGAGGCTTCCCTCTTTGAGGTGTGTCATACAGTGGCTAATAAGCTGGGCTTTTGTTCCCAAGCACACTCTGAATGCTAGAGAAACATAAAACAAAATCCAGCCTTTGCACTTGATGAGCTAACTGGGAAGCCTTGGAGATGTCTGGATTGGAACTACAGTTGGCAGTACTGGGAGCTGTGCACCAGCTGCATTCTGCAAGTCACACTTAGAGTGTAGTGCTGAGTGGTCACTGTATGTGCCTGAGTTGAGTACCTGTTACCAAACTAACCTCAGGAAAATATGTTCTAAAACAGCTGTGGCATTTTCAATGGGAGGATTTGGCCTGGGAAGCATTCTGTTCCAGTGATACCCCATTAAAGATTTAGCAGTGTTTTGTTTTGTTCTGCACTGCTAGAGGAGCCATTAAAGAGAATGTATTGGAGCATCATGTGTGAGTTCGGGCTTAAAAGCCACTGCTAAGGGCACCAGAGAGGGCTGATTCCTACTCAGTCTAGTTCCTCACCAATGTGATAAACTGAATTATGGCTCACAAGTGGCACTTTATGCTGCACAGAGTTTCTCTCCCTTGGCAAGAGTGTCAGAGCGAAAGTAATGGTCTTTGAGAAGGAAGTGTATTCTAGTTCAAGGGACACTTTCTCCATCCTTACTCGTTTTAAGTACTGTCTTGATATTTGTATTTTGATAAAGTACACCCTCCCGAGCACATGGAGAAAGTGGTCACTGTAAGGCCTGAGTACAAACAGTATGTGAGGGATGGGTGTGTGGACATGGCCAGCGGTGTATGGCTGGACAAAGCAATCTGTAGCTTTTAACAGGAGACAAGTCCCTCTGCCTTTGCTTCCCCACTTCCCTGAGTTCTCATGGACACAGTCGTGTGCTGGGTCCAACTTGCAGCCCCGAGCAAGTGAGCAAGGGTGGGTCTGAATGGGAAACACACCTTTCTAATCACTGGACCTCTCACTGATTTCCTGTTGAGTAATGTAAATCCTGAACAATGGAAAACAAACTTCAGCAGGAAACTAGGGGCAATGAATTATCAGATTCCAAATAAATATGTGAGCAAAGGAAATGATCATCCCACAGTCTTAAGGAAGGGGGTGGCTGGGCATGGGTGACTCCTGTGCTTTTTTTTCCAAGGGATGTGAGCCCTCTTCCTATACATTGCATTATATTCAAGAGCTTCCACCTTGGGGTCACTCCTGATTGAACAGTGATGACTTTTTTTTCCTCACTTCCAGCCTGCCATTTTTCAGCCTGACATGGTCTTGTGCTTTCTGTTAGTATTAAGAAAACCATGGGGGAAAGAATCTCCCATCCTGATTTGCCACTGGCTGTGGTGGCCTTGGGTTGGTGCTCTCCCTGTCTGCCTCAGTTTCCTCTTTGGAATGATATTGATCTCCCACATAGCATCTGTATAATTTAGGGTTTATTCCCCAAAACCAAGAACATCTCTCAGATGCAGCCATTTAAGGCGATTTATTTATAACAGCAGAAATACTGGTTGGCCAGGGAACTCTCTGTACCTGACATAAGATGCCTCCAGTAAGATGCAACAGTGTCAGGCTGGCCATGCCATTGTGAGGGCAATGTTTTCTGTTTGAATGTCACTGCTGAATTTTTATGATGTAGTGTGAGAGTGGCATCTCGCCCATGGTTTTATCTTTTAGCGGTAATTTTAGAAGCAGAAATTTCTGTAGCTCAATGGATGAAGAATATATGTATTTTTTTAATAACTTGGGAATTATATGTCTGAGTCACACAGAAGACCTTGAGACAGATTACAGAGATAACATACGGTCTTGAAAGCTTAGGATTTGTAGATTCAGAATCAGTACATATGTGTCTCTTTGGGGCTGTGTAATTTTGAATTCCTGCCTTGGTTTGCTCCTGGCCATGGCAGCCTACATATCTGCCACTCTCTCCCCTCCCAGTTCCTTTTATGCCTCTACAGAGGTCTGTGGGGGAATCCTGCTGCCTTGGACCTTGGGTCTGAGGACCTTCTTTGCAACCAGAGCAACACATCTGTCACTCCGTGGGATCTTGCTGTCCTCATAGGCCCCTTCTGTTTTGTTGGTTTTTTTTTTTTTTTTTCCGTAGGATATGGTTTCCTGTGCTGCCTGCCAGTTTCCTAGCTCCAGAAGGCAGCTGAGCACTGAATTTTAGAGGTTTAAAGCCTTTGCATCTTCAGCAGCTAAGGAGCTTATGAAACTCTGTCCACACAGACAGAGATTAATGTATTTCTTTTCCTTCTCATTTGGAGCTGCAGCTTTTAGATGTAAAGGCAGGAGGTGCCTTGCACTGTGACTTTGAGAAAAAATGTTCATATATTTACAATACTGTCTTTGCCTCCACCGCCTCTTTCCTGCCCAGGACCATGAAATGCCACCCCTGTGCTATCCTCTCATGGCTCGTGGTGCACCCACACTATAAATTGGGAGCAGGGATCTGACCTGCTTTAAAATCCAAAGTGAGCACAACCCACAGCTTTCCTTTTTTTTCCTGGCCAGGTTACTTTGAAGCTGGATCACTTCCCCAAACCACAGCTTTTGGAAACACTAGCCAGAGAATCAGATAGAAACTTGCTTTCAACAAAAAAATCAAGTTTGCAGAAAAGCTCCTTAGCTTCAGCCTGCCTAGAGGAGACCTACTGATAAATGGTTCTCTTTTTGGCCTCAGCAGTTTATAAATGAATCATAAGGACAGATGTCTACAAGAAGACTGGTTAAAAAGGATTTCCGTGCGTATTTAAAATGAGAATACCCCGGGATGTTGATCTGTCTCTATGACAGCTGTCTGTGATCTGAGCGGTGACTTTTGTTGTGCTGGTGATTCTGCCTTTGCCAGCACACTTACACCTGGCTGCCCAAAACATTGGCATTGTCCAAAGTTCATTGTGAGAACAACCTAAAGTGCATTTCTGTTACCCCAGTTTATGGCGTTGAGTTGTTTGCTAGAATAGCTTCTCTCCTTGTTTTCTGTGTAACAGACATTCAGCTTTGCAGGTGTGTGTGAAAAGGGAAGAAAAAAAAAAAGGGGGTAAAAATGGCAAAGATAAGAACTTTTAAATGCAAATTTAAGAGTTGAATTGCTAGTGAGATGGTCTCACTTCTGCTTCCTCCCAGACTGTGTGCCATGCTGCTGTCTTGTCATCTGAGCAAGGGTTGATTTTCCCTGTGGGTCTCTATTGCTTTGAGTAACTTAAAGATACTAAAAATTGTATTGTTGTAGCTCTGTATCACACTGGAGACCTTGCCTATGGTCCTGTCTGTGAGTGCTGGGGATAAAAAAAATAAGTGGATTTTGAGAATAGCTTTGTTTAATGAAGGTTGGTGGGAGTCCTGAAGTATTACAGTATTTCTGCTGCAGGAAACATAGGAAAACAAGCACAAAGACCCCAAACACCAGAATGTGTGCAGAATACCAGCTCCAGAACACCCAGATCTATGGCATACTGGATATTTAACCAGCTCTGTGTAGTTTTGGAACCTCTCAGAACTGACCCTGCCTACCTAATGCAGACAGCTTTGAGAAGTTGACTCAAGCCATTCACACATGGAAAAGGAGGAGAAAGAAGGACATTGTATGTGCAGGATGTGACACTGTATGTTGGGAGATTTCATATTTAGTTGTGGCTAATGGGATAGGACAGACACATA